TACAAGCAGTAATGAACAACACTCTACATATGTTTAAACTTTTCCAGAAGTTTCCTTTTTTCTTCAGTGATGGAAATCATCCTTTCTCTGACTGATTACACAGCACTGCAAAGCAAGATATATGAAGGGCATTTTTGCCCAGACTACAAGAGATTTTCAATCTGCTGGTTTACCTATGTGAAGCGGTTTGCTCTTTTTTAAGTCACAACATAAGAGAGCCGCTGTGCAAACAATAGAAGGCATAAACAACATTTATGGAGGCATTTTTACCACACTCATTTCCATGGTATTGGAGTGCCAGGAAGGGATGGCAAAGCTGGAGAGGGTTAGGATGGCTGCCCATACATATGTTGGATGAAGAAATACCTTCAGTCCCTGTTTGCTGTGCTTCCAGATGAATGCCATCAACATACAAGTACTAGCTGCTCCAGCTGGTGTTTTCAACAGCCTTATCCGTGGCCTGGTCCAGCCCTTGCTACAGTCAATGGCAAGACCCCCAACAAGCTCACTGGGAGCTGGACCTGGCCCTAAATCTCTGGTTGCAGCAACAGCACCATGAAATTGTTCATGCTTGTAGTAAAGTAATTCTACACAGAGACAATCAAATGACAAGCACATTTTAAATGCTGGAAACAAGTGGAGAAACAAGAAGGAGAGAGCTTATTTTGTGGAAAGCCATTTGCTTTGTGTGAATTATTTACATCTTTCTTTGATTTTCTTTTCTGGGATGGCCCAAGCTCTTCAGGGTCTACTCTGATGTCATTTTATAACTTTATTCCCACCTACCTCTCAAACAATTCTAGGAAAACTGAAAAAAAACCCTCCAGATAACAACCTCATCTTTGTGAAACCAGCAAGTCTATTCTAGCAGATGGGCTCCGTGTTTGCCTCTGTGCATGCATGTCTCTGTATGTATCTGAAAAGAAGAGGGGGGAAAAGAACCTACCTTGACAATGGCCACAATAACTTCATTTTTACTATGCTTGGTCTATATTTTCTATGCTTGTTACTCGATAACAGGACTTCATTTTATTGTGTCTTAAATAACTACAATGAATTCATTTACAAAATATACTTCTCAGACTAGTTATCTAGCTAAAAAAATGAAAAGCAATAAAAGATAGACCCCTGCAGCAAACTCTACCATCTCAGAGCCATGGTTTGCAGGAGAGCATTACCACAGGTACATGCCTGAGAAAACTAAACCCAGACTCGACATCCTTTAAAACAATCATAAAATTCCATTGGCTTCAGTATCTGTACCAAAGATCAAATCTCTGGTAGGGCAAGTGAAATAGTCCACACAATCTGGGACACAAACACCTAGGAAATATTGCCAAAGGTTCCTTCAATTACTCTTTTAACAAAGAATAAGAAAAATATCAGCAGTTTAAACAACTTACTCTAAATGTATAAAACTGATAGAGGAAGTAATGGATAAACCTGCTATACCCCCATAAACTAATCCAAATTAAAAGGAGAAACAAACCAATCACCATTTGTTTTACATCACAAAAAAGATTAACTTCTCCCTCTAGCAGCTGAAGACAAAACAAGTAGCCACACAGTGACTATTTCTATGTATCGGACAGGCTCCAAGCTCATCTTGCAAAGCCTAACTCAAGCTGGATATGTAGGAAAACTTCTCTCCAAATCATCCTTTATTTTGATTAATTTGTCATGGACAATTCACAAACAGAAATCTGACAGATGCTTGCTTCTTTGAGAATTAGCCACTCTGCTCCTTTCCAATAAATCTTTACACCCCGCTCCTTTGACTTATTCAAAAGAACATATTGCCTTTTTTAAAACATAATGTAGCCATTAGCAAATCATAGCTGTGCTGCCCCATCTCATTCTTCTCCATAGCATAAAGTGTCCCAAATGCTTTCTGCCTCCATTGTTTCCCATCCCCTCTCTCTTTTAAATATCTTTCACTACCAGATTGGCATTGGCAGCCAGCCAACCAGTCAGCACTTTAGCTAGACAAGTGCTATGTTGATATGCCTAGATCTTTGAAGTGTCACACAACAAGTCCAACAAGTTAGTTTTCTTCCTATTTTAATACTTTTTGCAGAGGGCTCCAGCCACAAAATACATTTCCCATCAGGATTGGGTTTTTTTCAACACAGCTCCTTTCTGTGCAAACTTCTGCTGACAACTTCCTTTTTGAAATGCTTTGACCTCTACGGTATTTTTGAAAATACGGCTGAGAGATGCCTTTGTAAATGATATTACATTATACCTGCATTAAGTATACACCCCAGGAGCCCAAGTTCAGAAAGTCATGGTTGGATTGGTTAATACACTTTTTAATGAGCACTGATGTGACATGCTGCTTAGATCAAAGTGCAAAGAGCTGTTATTTGTCACTGCTTCCCATTACAGCACATTCTGAACATGGGCACAGTAATGAAACAAGTAGGACTGACGATATTTAAAAAAAATATCATACATCAGGCTGAAAAAACCCATATCCTCAAAATAACAAAAATAAGAAAAAAGAATACAAGTAAAAGACAAAGTGTCATTTTTAGCAAGTTGTTTCATGTCTGAGCCCACTGGGTATTGTTTTCATTTTATTTTATTACCACATCTGAAGCTGCACTGATAGTAAATCACAAGTGGAGCCTAATTTACCAAGTTGTCCAGTGGAGAAGTCATTGCCCTTTCCTCTTATGAAAAGCTGTTTGTTATGCTATCATGGGGGCTGTCACTTCCCAGGGGAGAAACCACGAGCATCTGAGATAACTGACTTTTGGGAGAAATGATTTTTCTCAGGCGATCCCCAGCCTCATCTTTTTGCAGATAATTATGTTGCTTGATCTGCGGATGGTAAAACAGAAAAAGTCTCTCCTTTCAGATGTTGCTGCTTTTATACAATTATACTTTTACACAATCATACTTCAAAACTACTAGCCCTTCATTAGTGCTCACAGTGACATTGGCCTACCTTTTATATTTAGGTAAATAGCGGGTGAACTACATTAAGATACACACATGCCATATTACCTGTATGCCTGCCAAACGTGAGACTCTTTAGGCTGACTTCTTCCACCAGGCAGGACTCCCTAGCAATAATCTGGTGCTCACGGCCAATAACAGGGCAATATGCTTTCCCATACACACTGCCTTTCCCTGCTCCTTATAATGTCCATTGGTACACTCCTTTTTATGTCACTGATAACCCTGACAGGAACTTCTCTTAGGAGAGGCAACTGGAACATGCAGATCTGAAGCACATCATGGGTCCTCATAATTCAGAAACACAGATGCTTGTACTGCATTTTGAGTGAACAATGTTATTTTTCTTGCTCACCGCATTCACTTGCTGAACCTGCAGATGAAGAAAAACTACCTGTGTGTCTCTGCTACTGCAGGATTGTTACAAGTGGCAAAATCAGAATTTTGACCTGTATTAGTCCTGACAACAGGCAGGTGTACACACAATGCTTTTTTCCTAATGCACTGCATCTATGGCATGAATCACCTCCCTTCACACACTCGCCTCACAAACACCTCTGTGGCAACTACAGGAATGGGCTGATGATGAGCAAGCAACGTGGGGTAAGGATATTTCTACAGCCTTATCCAGTGTTAATTAACTATATTCATAGACATCTGTTTCTTGAAGGATGTTGCTTTTCTCTGTCCACTTCTATCCAGGTCACTGAGAGGATATCTGATCACTACAGGCTTGTACAGACCGCCACCAAGTGCTCCGGAAACCATCCTTTCTGGCTTGAAAGACATTTGTGTGAAGGCACAAGCGCAACACTGAGAATCCAAGGCACCAGAGCGCTAACTCTGACTCATCGCTTATGTGTTTCTGTCTCAGTTTTCTCTCTGTGTAAGTGAGGAAGAAGTTTATTCTTCCCTCTCAAGAGAGTTGGAAGGAATCAACATTGTTTGTATTTCTTTTTAAGCACGCAGCGTGTAAACACTTTAGCTCAGTTAAGCTGTTCAAAACTCAGTAATGTTGATTTTCTCAAAATTTCCTCCAATTTGTTACACATTCCTTGCCATTAGGCCCTACAACTGAGACCACGAGACCAAACACAAGCTGGAAAACATGATGTCCCTGTCCAGAGGGTATCACTAATGAAAGCCCTGTGCTTAAACTCAGGCACATGAGTCACTCACATGTACATTAAGTACATGAGTGTTTGTACGACCAGGGCCTAAGACTAGACAAAAAAGCAAAACTAATCAACAGACATGGGGAAAAGCGCACAGGAGAGTGCAGCACCAAAGGCATCCTTGACATCCATTTTTAGCTTTTAAAATGCCAGATTTACGTGGAAAGCAGCAACCACACAAAGGTTTCCTTTCGAAAAGAGGACGCACACGAACTTTCCCTCCAGCTTACGGTCGCGGCGGCAAAGACTCGCTTCGCACGGCTAAGGAAGCGGGATTTCGGCCCCGGGAGCCGCAGCCCCGTCGGCACCTCCCAGCCGACCGCCGCGGAAGGACCAGCCACCCCCAGTCCCCTCTCCCACGCGCTCTCCAGCACCCTGCGGGCACATCCCACCCACTGCCCGATCGCACAGCCCTCGGGATGCCCAGTGCCCGCTCCGTCCCGTTCCCTCCAGCAGGTCCCTCCAGCAGGTCCCTCCAGCGTCCCTTCCCCCGCCGTGAGAGCACAGCCTGGGGCGCCCGTCAACCCAGCGGCGGAGACACCCCCGCCCCGCCCCGGGAGGAGTCCCCACCTCCCGACCACTCCTCCTCCTCCTGTTGGAAGGGGAAATATGAAGCGGAGCCGTCGTAGCACTACGCGGAGAAGAGTGGGGACGCGGCGGTGGAGCAGCGGGCATCCCTGGGCACCGAGCGGCGGTCGAGCCGGAGCCCTGCCGGGTCGGAGGCGGCGGCGTGCGGGGCGGAAGCCCTGAGGAGGGGGAGCGGCGGCGGCGCTCGGCCCCGGAGGGTGCTCGGCGGCCCCCGGCCCCGCCAGCCGCCTGCCCCCCAGCGCCGGGCCGGGGGCTGCCCGCGGCGGCGCTGAGGCGCGGGCGGCGCGGCGGGAGGTGGCGGCGGCCGGAGCGCTGCGAGGCGGGGAGATGTCCGCCCCGTACGGCTGCCTGATGCGGTACCTGTTCCCAGCCCTGCTGCTGCACGGTGAGTGCGGGGCGGTTGCCTGCGGGTCTCGGCCCGTGGGGTGGCCCGAAAAGCCGGCTGGGTTGCGAGGTTGCCCCAGAACCTCGCTGGGGCAGAGGGTCGCGGGTGGGTGCGCTTTCCCGTCGTGGCCGTGAGCGCTGGGTCCCATCTGCTCGGCACGGGGAGCAGACAGGACCTGTCTCCTGACAGAGGAGCGGTCTGTGTGGATGGCGAGGCGGGCAGAGACCTCGGTGGTTCTGCTTGCAGCGCTGTGCTGGCGGGACCCCCGCGCAGCGGAGCGGCGGCCGACCGAGGTGGGTAAAGCCGCGCCTAAAGAGCCCCGCTCCGAAGTGAGTGTCGGCGGATTATGTTGCACGCCTGTGACTGCTTGGATGGAGCAGCTGGTCCGGGCGCCTCACACACAGTTTCTTTACTCGCCTCCGGGCAAGGGCTGGCTCTGCCGAACTCCAGGGAGTTTCGCCGAGGCGCCCTGCGGGGTCCGCGTTCCACCGCTTCTTGAGAAGAGGTCTTTTGCCATGGAGGTATTATCTGGAAAGCCTCCGGCAGCAGAGTGTGCCAGCCGCCGGGTCTTAGCCCAACTAAAATTGTTTTGCTGCAGAGCACGGAGACTCCGGGTGTTATTGCACACAGTCCCACTTTGACAGTCTCTCAGTTTAGCCCTGGACTGACATCTCTGAAACTGCACAGAAGGCAAAATTTTACTGAGAAAAGTCAGCCTGTTTAAACTTAAAAGTTCAGCTTGTAAATCGATTTTTATGCACTTAAATAACCCATCTTTCCAGAAACTTGGTGTTCTTCAAGAGGAACTTTTGAAAAGGAGGCTGTTTAATGAGCTGCTTGGGTATGTCTAACATTTGGCAGCCAGATTTGAAAAACCTGGGTGCGATATCGTTCTGAAAGTGTGACTCAAGCTACTCAGTTATAGCATCGTTTTGAAGAGTGTTCCTAATTCTGAAGTCCTTTGTAGCATCCAGCATTCTTCAGTTGAATTTCGTAGGACCCCAAGCTTGTAAAAACAGGATTTTTTTTTTTTTAACTGTTAAAATGCAAGTGACCTACATGGAATCAGTGTGATATCTGTGAGCTGGGGTAAGGATTTCAAAGCTATTCCTGGGGTTGATTTTGTGGGGCAGGGATTCTCTCTCTCTATGTTTGTACAAGTGCTAAGCACACAGATGGTATTTAATAAATAATAAAGAGCATGGGCTTCTGATCGTGTATTTTGTTTTGAGAAAGAAAGAGGAGGAGACTCTGTTCCCCAGAAGGGGATTTTATACCCTTCTCACAGCTCAGCTATGAAATCTGGAGAGCGCGGAAACATGTTTAGCTGATCCAGACCTGACGGGATGCCAGAGGTGTTCTTTAAAACTCTGTGATCTGAGATGTAGAATTTGAAATGGGAGGTTTGAAGTTAGAGGGTAAAGAGAGGAGGTGTAATTACAGGGTTGGACTCTCTGGCTCATCTGCTTGGAATTACAGAGCAGAGCTGAACCCTGGCTGGAGCAGGAAACAAATCAGGGCCAGTGATCAGATCAAAACAGCAGCTGCCAAAAGAGGATGAAGAAGGAAAATCATCTATTTCTTCCATCTGCAGTTATATTTCACCAAGTAACATAAACCTGAGTTCTTGTAGGAATGTATAACTCTCCACCTTGTATATAAAGACAAATACCTTGTTAATGTAGCAGTGCACAGTTTTGATCAGAGTTGCAAGTGTTTGGAAACTACCGTGCTCTTACAAACTTGGAAAAATATATCAGTGGCATATAATGCACTGAAATGTAGTGCATGTAAATGTATTTACCCTGTCAGTTTTAACTTGGTCAAGAGCTTTTCTTTCCATGCCATGGAGTCAATAGAAGCATCCTTGGGTCAGCAGCTAGCCCGAATTGGTAATATGTAAGAATAACCACCAATCCCAGGGAATTGCAGTGTTAAGCCTCTTTACAGCATGTGATGTTTTTCTTTTTTGCATTTCTATTGCATGTGGCAATTTAAGGGTTAAAATTGAGTGAGTGTGGGTGGGTGTTTAAGGATTTTTAGGGCTTAAAGCTTTGTAAAGCAAGTTAAAATGTCCTATAAGGCTAAAGCTTCTGCTTTCATTACATTAAGAAATGCCTTCTTTAACATCACCGAATCAAAATTTGGAAAAACTTGTCCTCATTCGTCAAAAACCTGTATGGTGTCATTAAAAAAAAAAAAAAAGGTTTGCAGCTGGAAGTTGTCCATTATCACTGTTTTCTTTGCTTAGACGAAAAACCACAGAAGTTTCAGATGTCAAACACTAAGATCATTCAGCTCCAGAAAACCTGATTAATAAGAGCTATGTTCAAGTGAATTCAAAACAAATTTGGCTAATTTCTTTTGTAAATGTAAACTTTTTTATTACAAATGCAGATGCTAAAAAGAAACTTTAGTCTATTTCCGATTATGCTACTCTTAGAGTAATGAATTAGAAACTTTAAAACAATTAGGTGATAACATCATGGAAATGGTACTAATAAAGATTATGAAGACAAGACTGACGGGCTTTTCAGAGCAAAACTTTGTGCTTTTGAAAGTTCTCTGACAATATTGTTTAAGTTAGTTACATAGAAGTGTTTTATTTCAAAACCTTTTCAGGAAAGTAATAAGTAAATACATCAGAAGATATAAATACCTATAGCTATAAAATGAACATATACTGTACTCAGTGCAAAAGGCATATGTGATCTGTTCCCTCAGTTAAATAACACATTTCAAAATCTGGAAGACAATAAAGAGAAAGACTTCTAGCGTTTGCAGAGAGAGTTATAAGATGGACTCAATTTTGTTCCAAATTTTGTCAGTGTAAACTCTTTCACTCATCTTTGTAGCTTGACCGGGGGCTAAAAGTGGCAAGATGTAGATGTCATCGACAGCAAGGGTAATTTTTTTGTGTTTTGTAGGGTGTCTGTAGGAAGTAGGCTGCCAGGTGATGAGGCCCAAAACTAGCCTCAGCCACGCTGAAGGCAAATACCTTTAGCTAGTCAAATCAAGGGTAATATTTTATTATTGAGATGATGCTTTAAGCAAGGCTGATAGAGGGTAGGATTATATGTAGTGAGGATTATTAGCATTGTCTTTACTCAGGCACAAGTCCCATTGAAGTTAGGGGCAGTTCTGGAATAAATCCCAGTGCCAGGGTGTGGGTGGAGGACAGGGCAGATGTTTCTGACAGATGTTTCTTTCAAAGAGGGCAAGGCCAAACTACCATTGATATTGAACTGCACTGACATCCCAGCACTGCACCCACTCATGTTGGTGGCAGAGTTCCCGCTGCCCTGAAGGGAGGTGAGCTTTAACCCTTCATGGTTTCTTAAACAAGCCCACACTTTAGGCAGTGCTGTTTCACCCTGCGTGGGTAGCAGCAGCCATCCTAAAGAGCTTCAACTAAGCAGAGGTTATGGGCTGTGTAACTGGTGCTTGGTTCTCTGACCTCTTCCAAGATGGGGCATTGAGTAAGGACTGAGCTATAGGGTAACAGGGGACTCTATGATGGGCCTTTCAGGTTTGGGGGGAGTTACCTTTTAGCTGTACCTTCTAAACATACTTTAGATCTCTCCTCAGAATCTTCCATGCTCTGAAACATTCAATTTGTGTCTCTTCGGAAGCGTTATGTGGAAACTCTGTATGCACAAGAGAGGCAACAGATACATGTGAAAGGAAGTCATTGTCCTGTTTGCTTCCACAGCCATAAAACCCAGCTTTCCTTTCCCAACCCTTTTGTTTGTAGTTGCTAATTTAGGTCCCAGTCCTTCAAGGACTCTTTGAAGTTTCAAGTGCAGGGAAAACACTGGTAAACACAGATCAGGGCTTGGTAACAGGACATTATATTCTCCATGGCAATTATGTAAGTTTACTGTAGCTAAAGGCCTGTCATGGGCATTATCTAACACTACCCCACATCAAGAAAGAGCATAATCCAAATGTCTGTTTATTTAATTGTGCAGGGCAACTGCCCAGATAAGGAGAGCTATAAAGTTAATCCAGCCAATTATTCTTTATCTGTTGTAAGGTTTTTCAAGTTTCAGACAGGTTCTAACTTGAAAAGAGATTGCTGCAGGAGTAAAGCATGAATGTTAAAATGTTTCTATCAGAGATGAAGCTATCGCATATTTTGAATTTGTGCTATCACTCAAGGTTTTTTAATTCATAATAAAATTGTGCTTGTCTGTATTTACATTGCTAGAAATTAAAAGAAAGAAAGAAAGAAAGAAAGACAGAAAGGTGAAGTGGTTCCTGCAGAGCAATCCCAGCCTAAATCCAGGTTTGAATCCTACTTTCAGGTAACATATATTCTCCTATTTAGCGAAGGATGAACCTGCTGAACACCTGGTAGCTTTGAAACTGGTTTGAAGTGCTACACTTGGACATGTTTGAAGCCATGGCTTAGATTCTGGTAGAGGTGTTCATTAAACTGATAAAATCTAAACAGGTTAATATTTAAGATTATTTGCCTTATACTTTAGCAGTCTGGCATAGCTGTGAACGGAATTTGGCCAGGGTATTTAGGCATGAATTAAATTAAAACTATTTGTGTTCAAGCACAACTCTGCTTGAACTCAATGTTATCTTTGTTGCATACTATTTTGCATACTATTTTAAAGAAAACCTAAACATTTATTCTAGCAGCTTGCAATTTTTTGCAGAAATGTTGGCGGAAAGCTTTGCTGTAACCATTTTTGAAACACGTTTGGGTAATGGGCTGCCAACAGATTGCCCTTTTAAGATTTGTATTTTACTCGCAGCTATGTGCAGAAATCTTTGAAGAACTTGGAAGTAACCTATCTTCCCTTAACAATTATTTTTATCTTCAATGGTTGTTCCCACATCAGATAGAGGTTTATAAGCGAACCTGAGAGCCTGAAGCCCTCTGTCTGGTGTGGTGCGTGCTCCTATCCATGTCTTAACCGGAGTGGCAGCTGTACAGACCTCCGCTTTCCCACTCAGATGGATGTTGCATTCTTCCCCTGTAAAGCGTGATCTGTGAGGGCTTGGGCATGGATCCCCAGTGAGCTGTAGCACCTCTCATGCTGTATTCAATAAGTTTAATGCTAAAGCTGTGACCTACACCGCTAGAGCTTGATTTTGAAAGAGAAGCTGGATATCAGCTCATTATAAAATGGTTTTATTTTGCTTTGTTTTTCTACCTGGCATTTCTGATGGATTCTGGAATTTTCCTTTTCCTTTTGGACTTGATCCTTTGTGAAAACAGACATTATGGAGTGGGTGATACAATCGTATGATCTCTGGTTGTGGTCTAACTAAAATGAGAGCCAACCACAGGCTTCACGAAATTATTGCTGTTGGTCTCGTGCAGAGATTTTTTTTGTTTGTTTGTTTGAAGTCTGTCACACTTTTGAGTAATTTTATGGTGTGTGGATTTTGTTTGTTTTTTTTTTTTAACAAGTGGGTAAGATTCCTTCATAACACACAAAAATTTAAACAGTCAGTCAGAGTCTGAGATATTCTCAGTTGAGTCTGAGATGCTCAGTCATGGACATACTGAAACCTACCATCTGTCAGTGCTGTAGGGAATAGCAGACTTGGATCTTCTTGAATGAAAGTAATGGCTCCAACTATGTTGCAACTGCATCTATGCTCCAAAGTGGGCTTCTAAAGACTTATGAAATCCTTTTCCCAGTTTCGTGAATGGCTGTTTTAACGCTGAGTCTTCCAGCGATGTCCCATTTAACATGGCCAAATGGATCTTTTAAAAATTAGTGACATCATCCCTGCAGGACCTAATTTTTGCAGAACAAAACCTCGTGTGCACTGCCAAGGATGGAGCAGGGGGACACTGCTCTGCTTCTGAGCACCTGTTGCGAGGAAAAACACAGGAAGATGGTGTTTGGTTTACTGCTCTGTGTGGGAAGCATATCGCCGGTCTTGTGTTTGATCTGCAGATGGCACAAGAGGAAGTTGCGTCTCCTTTGTATAGTAGTTATATCTACAGGCATATGTCAGTAATTACAAAAGTGTTGAAATGATTACTTTGTAAGGAAGTAAATTAACTATTTCCTTGCCCTAGCAAGGCAAACATAGGTAAAGGTCACATAGCTGTCTCTTAATTTTACACTGTATTTCATATTCTGATATTTGGGTCCTATTGATGTGATGTTGCTTAACATTATTTAGAGCAGCCCAGAGGAGAAAGACTTGAGGGTCTTGGTTGATTAGAAGCTCAATATGTCTTGGGAATGCGTGCCTGCAGCCCAGAATGCCAAATGTATCCTGGGCTGCATCAAAAGCAGCATGGCCAGCAGGTTGAGGGAGGTGATTCTGCCCTTCTACTCTGCTCTGGTGAGACCCCACCTCAAGTACTGTGTCTGGCTCTGGGTTCCCCAACAGAAGAAGGACATGGACCTGTTGGAACGAGTCCAGAGGAGAGCCAAGAAGACAATCAGAGGGTTGGAGCACCTCTCCTATGAACACAGGCTAAGAGAGCTGGGGTTGTTCAACCTGGAGAAGAGAAGGCCCTGCTCTAGTAGCATATGTCCCTGCCCATGGTCGGGGGGTTTGGAACTGAATAAACTTTGTCTCTTCCAACTCAAACCATTCTATGATTCTTCGTGTGTGTTTTCTACATCTCTCCCTCTGTCTCTGCAGCCTTCATTATGTTCTTATGCCGGTCTTGATTACATAAACTTGTTCTTGCCTTCATTTGTCATAGTTGGATGGACAGAGTCCCAAACAAATACCCCCTTTTCAGGTACAGGTCTCTAGGGCTATTGATGCAAATCTCCCTTCCGTTCACTGGTTGCAGTTTATCATTTGCAAGTTGCAGACAGAACTATGTACATGTAACATGAAAAGCTGGGACACAATTGCTTTTTGAGCTTTATCAAAGAGAAGACAGTGTATAATACCACATAAAGTTTGACTCCTTTTCAAAAACTCCTTCTTTTCATTATTTCCTTCAGGGAATAATTGAGAATGTCTAATGTGGTCACTGTGTTTTCTTCTTTGATATGTGCACATATAAGATGCTATCCTCCTACAGAAGGATTTTTGCTTGAAGAAATTAAATGCCCAAGTATGCTTACATTTCTATTCATGCATTCATGAATCATATGACATGAGCTAGGCAAAATAAAACTGCTTAAAAGCAAGTAGTATAATAAATATGCCTTGGAAATAGTCACTTGAACAATTTCAAAACCTCCTCTTGGTGGCAGATTTCAAATACTTAACAACTTCAAGAAGAAATGTAAATTTTCAGTCTTTTCCAATATGAGAAAATGTATCTGCAGGAGACATCCTGTTGAAAGTTAGCACTGGTGGCTACAACTTCTACCAGGTACCTTGCAGGCAGTGTCAATTCTGATCCAAAAGATGCTCTGAGCCTGGGTAGTCAGCTCAAGCAGAGCATCACCCTACCTTGGCCATACCATTTCTGATGCTGCTTTACCATTTCTGGCTGCAGAATAGGAGTGGTTTGGTGCTAACATGAGTGACTCTGCTCAGCAATGTGGAAATACCTGAGAAGCCTTGACTTCCAGAAAGGGAGAAATACTGACCCCCTGAAAATCAAGCTTCTTGGAAGGGCATCTCAGATGGCATGCTCAAATATCAAAGCATCCCTAGTATTTATTACCCTTTAGAAAGCAAGGCCATAAATCCTCATTCACATCGAAGAATTGTTTGTAACCTGCAACAAAGCTACCAGATTTTCCAGTAGACTTTGTGAGGTTGTATTCATTAATCTCATTAAATCTTGGAATCATTTGGTGGTGAGCACTGTTTAGATTCAGGTATTTATTGTATTCTTTCTGATTGTTCTTTACCCTGTCTACTGGATAAGTCCTTGACTCTGTTTAGCTTAGGAATTGCCATTTTTAAATGGTTGACATGTATTTATATTTTTAGCAATGCCATTTTCCCAGGTGTTACCCAAGTTTGTTCTGGAAGATCTAAGACCTAGCCAACAATGAATCACTGACACCTGGTTTTTTGTGGGCGTTTTTTTGGAGTAGGAAATGGCAAAGGTTTATGACAGTGCCCACTTAACACCAAATAATACTGATTTTTTTTTTTTTGTAATTTCTGTAGTGATGCTGCACACTGCCCAAGCATTTGCCCAAGTGTTACATGGGGTCTGGGACATAAAGTGTAGGATCCTGTCTTAGGTGGCTCGGCACGATGTAGGGTTGCACCACACACTGATGATACCCAACTGTGCAATTTTTGAACCTGGTCATCTAAAAAGGCACTAGATAAGATGGGCATCAATCCCAGACTCTGCCCCTGAGAGCATGTTTCAGCAAGACATCCCTTTCCTGAGATGGCTGCCCAAACTTCCCAGGCACTCAACGAACTGCTCCATCCACCCCATATCCATTTTCTAGCCCTCTTTGGTACTCATATTCCTTCTGGCAATGTAACACATTTTCCAACACTTTATGTAAGGTTTGTCACCTTTTAACCCCTAGATGTGTGTTTTTCTTTTGATCCATGTTTTCAAACATATCTAAGAGCAGGCTGTGCCTAAAAGAGTAAAGACACATTCCTTTTCAAGCTATGTATTCATTTTGTTCAATTAATATTGCGTAGAGAGCGTGCTGGTGGATTTTGCATGTATACATTACTAGAAACCAAAATTACTGTGTGCTGGAGATAAAGTTAGCTCCTGAAATTCTTTTTCCCCTTTAAAATAAAAATAGCAGAATCTGCCTTTAATTGACCACCTCAGACATCACAGAGGCTTCCTGTGTGCAGAGGCTTTGCTTTTAATATCTGTTTTCCCTTGACTTTTAAGAGTAGTCTTTATTTGCAAGTTTATTATAGAAGCGTTCAAATTAGAGGTGGGCTGAAACCGCAAAGTTTATGTCCGGACCTGGATGCAACTTTCTAAGAGTTTGAAGGTCCGGGTTTTTGATTGTTCTGACCAGAGATTACAGAGGTGTCTATAAAATTCATTTTCAGAGCCACATCTCCTGGGTGTGGAAACACAACACTTTGCTCAAGCTCTTTTCCCTAGTGTATTTCATAAAGCAAATTTATGTAGTGGAATATTAGTGGTCTGACAGAAAGGGAGAGCTTCCTGTGAGTTTTTTTCAGACGAGAAAAATAAATGTAAACAGTATTTGTCCAGAAACTTAACAACGCGAACAAATGTTGTTCAACTCAAGATGTTCACAGTCTTTTTTATCATGTTGAAGCCCTTCTCAGCAGGGTCTAATGATATAATTTACACTTTCTATCACAGGGCTGGGAGAAGGTTCTGCTCTTCTTCACCCAGACAGCAGGTCCCACCCTCGGTCCTTGGAGAAGAGTGCGTGGAGGGCTTTCAAGGAGTCACAGTGTCATCACATGCTGAAACACCTTCACAATGGAGCTCGGATCACTGTGCAGATGCCTCCCAATATTGAGGGCCACTGGGTCTCTACTGGGTAAGGAAAGATAAAACAAGATGCTGGAGATGGGGAAGAGAAGAGGGCGAAGGAACAGAGAGGGAAGGGTGAATATTCCCACTTTAAGCAGCAGGGGAAATACTTTCTTTAATATAGTGATGCTCTAAATTCCGGATGCTCTCTATATGCTTATGCATAAAAGGAGAAGGAGTAGCATTATGTACATTAGAATGGCGTGCTATAAAGCTGTCTTGATGAATCAATTTATAATCTGGATTTTAAACAGCATGCTGTGAAATATCTTTAAATCACTCTTTGAATAGGAAGAAGCCTACCAACTTGTCAAAGTGAATGCTTATTCAAACATAACATTGTACTGTATTTGTCTACATGCATTAGATCCATTGAATGAGTACTTGTTTCCAGAGCATGTGTCTAGCACAGGTTTTATTAGCAAAAGAAAATTAAGAAGCTGTATTTCGCTAGTTCTATAACTCTTTACACATGATGACTTGTAATTGAGAGAGCCATTTTGCTTCCTGTGTCTCAGCAGACAATATTCACATCCTCATTTGAAGTGACTTGTAGTAGGAAAGACTGGGGTCTTTTTTAACAGAGTGTATTTCAGGATGAGAGGAAATGGTTGCACCAGGGAAGGTTTAGATTAGATATTAGGAAAAAGTTCTTCACTGTAAGGGTATTCAGGCACTGGAATAGGCTACTCAGGGAAGTGGGGGAGTCACTGTCTCTGGAAGAGTTCAAAAGACATGGTGAACATGGCAGTGCTGGATTAATGGTTGGACTCAATGGTCTTAGAGGTATTTTCCAACCTCAATGATTCTATGAATCTATTTATGTTAAGCAGTGTAGAGATGACAAAGGGAACAAGTCTGAAGGCACAAAAGGGCATTCTACAGGAAGTGGAATTTAACTGCTATTTACACCTTCAGAAAAAAAAAAGAAGAAAAAACCAAACCAAACAAAAACACAAAACAAACAAGCAAACAAACAAACAAACAAAAAAATTCCCTGAATATAGCATGGTCCAAATTCAAGCCAAGTAGAAGTTTTGCATTAACATCAGAAGTTTGCGTTAGCTGCCAGCCCTGTTGAATGTTTGAGTGGGAAAGCTTAGGACATGATCCTACATGTCCTCAGCAGACCAGAGCTCATGGAACTCACACTGAGAAGCTTCTACTGCAGCTTAGAAGCCAGTTCTTTGTTCTATTCCATGGACATATGGCACTTCACTTTCTGATGTTATCAGTCATTCTGCTAAATCTACCATGCAAAAGAGGGGAATAGATGTTTAAAAGGCTGCTACTTTTTTCAGTGAAGAATTGATTCACATGGTGGTCCTAAACAAAAAGAAAAAGCAAAACATGATTCGAAGTATTTAAACCTAGAAGATAAAGCCTTTAGATATGATCACATTAATAACAGCAGAGGGAATTGTTGATTAATCAGCAGGCCACAGATGACTAGTTCCTGTTTACTCCCATTCATGCCAGGGGGGCATTAGCACCCAGGTGTCTCTGGGTCCGGGTCTTGTTGCCTGTAGTGTACATGATGTGCCACCTTGCTAAAATTTTGTTTCCACACTTTCTTTCTTTCTTCCCACAGCTGCGAAGTTAGAGCAGGCCCAGAGTTCGTCACAAGATCTTACAGGTTCTACCACAATAATACTTTCAAGGCCTACCAGTTCTATTATGGTGGCAATCGCTGCACAAACCCCATCTACACGTTAGTCATACGTGGCAAAATACGCCTCCGGCAGGCTTCCTGGATCATCCGAGGGGGCACTGAAGCTGACTATCAGCTACGCAACATACAGATCATATGCCACAACGAAGCAGTAGCCAAAAGATTAAGCGAGTTGGTGAACCACACGTGTCCTGGATTTATCCCAGAAGATAGCCCCTGGGAGCAGGATGTGAGTTACGATTTGCTGAGAGAAGAGAATGGCTGTGAATGCACCAAAGCTCTGAATTTTGCCATGCACGAACTCCAGCTGATCCGTGTGGAGAAGCAGTACCTGCACCACAATTTAGACCACCTTGTGGAGGAGCTATTCCTTGGAGACATTCACACTGATGCTGCTCAGAGGAGGTACTATCGGCCCTCTAGTTATCAACCTCCCCTTCAAAATGCCAAGGTAAGTGTGTGTGTGTGTATATATGCCCTCTTTTTGAGATACTGGTGGCAAAGCCCAAATTACTCAGTTCTTCTGAGCAGTGTAACCTAAAATGTAGATGTGTTTATATATAAGCACATATAAGTGGTCCGTTGCAGCCTTACACTTAACAAAAGATCACAGAACTTATTTTGTGAGAATAGTAACTTTGCTGTGGTTTATGTGACTGCATCAAATATGCAAAAAAGTAGTCTGGTGAACTGAGGCCAATAAGGCCACTCTGAAGATGGACTCAAAAACTTGTAGGCAGAGATTGGAGTGGTTGGCCAGAACCGTGGCTGTAGGCTAGCAGCTGAGAAGAAGGTTTCATACAGAGCTGAGAAAGGAGAAGAGGAACAGGCATCAGTGGATGCTTGTATAGCTGTGGGAGTGCCAGGGAGAGAGGAAATTGAATTCCATCAGCATATGAAGGTTGGGTGATCCATAATCTGAAGAGGAGAAGAGGAAATTGGAAGGGGCAGCATGAAGGGTAAAAAACTAGTGGGCTGTGCAGGTCATGGATCCAGATACAGGCATACACATTAATGAAATGAAAAACAGGTGAATTTTGAATGGGGCTCTAATTCCATTTGATAATTCAGTTTTCAGAGGGGCCTCAAAGTGCCCTCCACTTCATTGGGAAGTGATCAACACATAGTAAGCTAAATACAACTCAAACAGGAGGAGTAGACACTGATGGCCTATAACAGGAAGGCTGTCTATAGATCTTTCCTGGTGACAATTCAAGGGCAGGCAGCAATTGGAACCACATTGCCAGGTACCACTGCCACCAGCTGGGCGCTGCCACAGCATCACTTCCAGCTAATGCGTTACCACCATTTTTAAGTCACGAATGGTTCAAAAATCAGCTACAGCTTATCAGCAATAGCAGGAAACACAAGAGGGGAAGGGAGAGTTTTGATGAAAAAACCTTGGCTTTCCTTTCCATTCAAAACCATGGGTTGTGTCTGCCTCCTGTGAATATCAAATTTTAATAGTTCAGGACCTTTTGTGATTTATTAATTGTTTTATAGCCTGGCCTAGATATCATTTTAATCTACAGTCAGCTGTGTTTCTGTATCAAAACTGTTGTCATTTCTGTCATTCTTATGCTCTCTTCAAATGACCACAGGCAAATTTAAATTTTCTTTTTAAATCTATTTATCTTCCCAAAATAGAGAGTTTCAGCAGCAGCAGATGAACCACAACACAATCCTCATCAAAATTTTGATTTTCTTTAATTAATTAAACAAGCACATTGACTCACTTTACTTATTTGGGAGTGATGGTTCTTTGCTAAATCTCTTCCTTGAAGGTATCTGCTGATAGAAATTATCAAACACCAGCTATATTGTATCTATTCTAGAAAATATTGTGCATCTTTTTCTGACAAAATCTTGGTTTAATTCACTGTAGCTGAGTTTTTTTTTCTGGTCTAATCTACTTGTCTTATTATGAGCTGACAGATAACATAGTAAATGCCTACACTTCCACCTTGTAGTAATTTCATTACGGTCAGAACAGTCCAATATACTCTCAGCCAGCTTTATGAAATTAAGCTTGTTGTCCAAGTCCACTGTAATTTTAGGACAAACTGGTGATGATTCTCCTGCCTGTCTGTTCTGCTACTGTAACATCTCTTTTTCCCTCTAAAATATAGCCCCTTTAAAATACAATTCTCAAATTTAAGGGATCAAATCTTGCATTAGAGGCCTGTTTCTTTGGACAGGTTAGCTTAATAAACAATGAGAGCACTGATACTCTCATTTATGTTCACAAAGCCCAATATTTCAGGCATGATCCAATCCATTCTGACACGAGTGGGTGACACCTCTATGTGGAAGAAAAGAGGAGGTTCAACCTGCCTGCCTGAGTCACCTTACACACTGTTATCCTGCAGCCCCACATGTCCAGTTGGTCCCAAGCACTCCAGTCGGGAGAGCCTGCAGTGTGGATCACAGAGGAGGCTTCCATGTCATGTATTTACAAGAACTGGGGGAAAGGAAAAGTGATTTTTGGTAACCAGCTCTTGGCAAGCCTGAATCATTGAGGCTGAATTTATGACACTGGAAGCCCATTCGTAACAGTACTAATGGTGACAGAAAGTGCTGACACTATAGAAAGCACAGCTTAACTCGGAGTACACCAAAATGCATACAGATTCCAGCTCTCCATGGTGAAACTGAGTAGTCTAATAAATGGGGCCCCCCCAGGTTCTGACTTGCAGGCTACTGCTCAACTCCGAGTTTGGCCAATTATGACTTCTGACAAGTTACATTACTTCTTTTTCTCCTGCAGACATTGTCTCCATGGTCTGCTTGGTTCCCACAATGTATGTATAGCATATATACATACATACATATATATATATATATAAAAATATATATATACAGCATCTGGATTGCTGGATACCAGTCTCAGCTGAAGCCTTCAGTGGCAAAAGATGTGTAGGTTTAACACAAGTTTTGAGTGTGCAACAATGCAGCTTCTCTTTATGTTTTCTAGTGGGTCCCCCATGCGCAGATTTGACATGAGATTTCTTTTCTCTCAGGAGAAGCTGGGCCTGCTGATACTAGGCTTTCAGCATGATATAAACAGCAATACCCCTGAAAAATGAACTTTTGCCTTAGCTGCCATTAAAGATCCCTGGATGCTGATTTGTACCTAAGCATGAAGTTCTCTATACCAGCAGGTTCTCAACCCAGCTGCCTGACCTAGTGTTTGCCAAGTGGAGGAAGAATAGTAACAGAAGTGCTTTTTTTTTAAAAAAAAAAAAAGGATCCAGGCAAACATACCGTTGAAAGGTTATAACCCTTCTTTTTTGAACTCTTTTCCTTTTCTAATTGTTGCTCCACTGGGACCCAGCTGAAAATGAGTTTAAATGCTAAATTGAGTTTAAAACTACAAGTCACAGACTCCTCTGGAAACTGGACACCATGAATAAATAGAAACGTTAAATCAACTTGTTTTTTTAAGGTTTCCACAGTCATACCAAGAGGTTGGGGAGGCCAGGAAATTGCCTCTGAAGTGAATCAGGTGTATTGTGTGGAATCTTTCATTTAAGGCTTTTTTCATTTCCTTTTTATTTATTTATGTTTTAGACTTTTACAGGTCTGCCTAAAATAAGTTAAGAGGATTCACATTTTGAGTTAAATTTATAGTTAAACCTCTATATAGAAGAAAGTTCCACCCAGCTCAAGAGTTTACACAGCCTGTAAATTGGATGTGGTAGCCACATTCATTACTTGTGTGGTTGAAATGAACGGTAATTAAAAGCAAATGATTGCTGGATATGTTAGGAATGCCAAAGCCCCATGATCAGGACTTTAAACAAATACAGTTGGACCTTATCCAAATTCCTGCAGTGATTTCACCACAGGATGGTAAATCAAAAGGGCTGTCCAAAAACCAGACAGCTTTATGCTGAGCTACAAATCTGAATAAATTCACAGATTACAGTATCTCAAGTGCTTATATAAAATCAGGGAGCTTTTAAAAACATATAATATGTCATTTCTTAAGGCTTTACAAATTCTCTTAGATAAGAGCATACCTTAAACAAATTCCTCCCGTAAAATACACGGAAGTTCCTGAGTGCAGATGATGAATAGATCACTATATAGATTTATCTTAGCCATTTCCTAACCTGGCTCAAGATATCAGTTAGGACTGACTGATGAATGGAGATGAACATCTTTGATGTCCCTTGGCGTTGCAAGTGCATCAAGTGATTCAAGATATTGCCCATGAAGCTTCTTCAACCAGCATGAGAGAACATCTGGGTGGAAAGGGCAGGCTGGGGAAACTGCTTGGCCATCATTATGTATACTACAAAAAATGTTCCCAATTAGGATGACACCAAGGAGGCTGCATGATTGGTTGTAAAATCGCAAATGTATACAGGGACTTGTAGCATGAAGGAAGGCTTGAATGCAGTATTTGTTCACTGTGCAGCACAGAAGATGTTTTCAGAGATGTCTGCTCCAAGCTACAGAAAATGTGTACAAGAGCAGTTCTGGGAGACTTATTTCATATATAATTGCCTCAGTAATATTGCTTTGTAAACAAAGAACTCCTTGAGCTATTTTATCGTTAGCAGAGTAATGGGAAAGATCAGAGCAGGACTATGACGACCGGTCATTCTAGTTAGATCATTGCTTAGGAATAAGGCCAGAGTGGTCTGGAACATCATAAGAAGCCTAGAAAGTGCTAGGATAACCTTTGCTCTTTGTCATGCTCAAACATTTGCTGGCCACGCTCTTTCAGTAGGACATTTTCCCTTGAAAACGTGATTCCAGTGGATTAGTTGTCTTTTACAGGTTTATTCACCTCTGGGAGCTGACTTCCAGCAGCACCTCACATTTGCAGCTAATAAAGATTCAATGTATGGAGACTGGTGTCAGGGCTTTCCTTTAGCCAGGTGGTGAAAGAACAAAGTGTGCAAAGTTTTCTGTGCTTTTCAGAATTTGAGTCTTCATCTCTTTGAAATGCAGTGACTTCATCTATAGGGGAATGTTATGTACTTGAGGAGCTCACGGGGAAATGCAATCATAAGTTAATAAATAGAAGTTCAACATGTGAAGTGCCTCAGAGAAATATGCAAAACATTATCTCAACCAAAAAGTAAAATTTTGGCAGACAAAACTCCTTTGTTTGCCTGAGTAGTGCCACTAGACTTTTAGATTAAGCCAAGACTTGAAGGGTTCCTTTTGTTCATTATTACATGAAAAAGGCTCTTGGTTGGGGAAATTGTGAGGGGAAGCAAAGAAAGAATATTCAGAAGAATGTTCAAATGGGTTAATTCCAGGTTTATGAACAGTAACAGTGTGTGTTGTGCCCTGCAGAGATGAGAGAAGCAAACAGCTTCTAGCTGAGGTTGGCCCTTGCCGTGCTCAGCAGTGCTGTCGGCTGTGGCCCTGCTCCTTTGAAGCTGCCACATCTGCACTTACCACTGTCTGTTCTGCAACTCCAGTAAAAGCCTG